CGAGCCTTCAAAGAAAAAAACTCCTCCAGCAACACTGAGAAAGCTATCCACATCTAGGTATTTGACGTATCTTTCACCAACTCCGAATTGGATGATTCAACATTCCAACTCATTTCCCATTTTACAATTGGAAAATTTTTTCTTTTGTTTTCCTCTTCGGGAATTCATGAGTACAAAAGGATATACATCAATTTAAAAGACAAAGATAAATAGGGCTTAGCACATTTACATTGCCTCCGGTAGAAAATAAATTTTCAAGTACACATTGGTACAATTAAAAATATTATTCGATAGTATTGATAGTTTCGTTAGATCTTGAAATTCAAAACTCTTGTTCTCACAGAAAGAGGGATTCTGACATTATGAGATCCATTGTCGGTCCAAGTCAAACTCCCAAAGAGATAATCAGTATTCACTGTATGAGTCGTTGAGACGTTAACCGTAAATGTAATCTTGTTGGTGTTGGCACCGAACTCAAGAGTCTCGGGACTCACCTGCAGGTTAATACCAAGGGGCGGTTCGATCACAGCTTTGTAAACCGAACCAACCGGACCAACATTGGTCACGGTTCTAGTTATGGTAATCTCTTCACTGAGATATGGGATTGTGATTGAAGGCAAGTTGACGTAAAGCATGGATGGAGTTGGGGAAGGGCAAGTGTAGGATTTGGCAAGTAGTCTTGAGATGGATCTATCGTCGTACCCTGCGGAGCACAAGTAATGAACATATTCATCGTATCCCATGTCGTACACAAGTCCTGGGTCCGCTACTTTCGCTGGGTTCACGAGACCGCCTCCGTAGTCAAACGGATCAGCGAGTTTACGTGGGGAACCCTCGGCTGCAATAGGCTCTCCCGATGGGTCGGTTTGCAAAGCTGCAATGGTCAATAAGTCATTCGGTTGTGCTCCTTGAAGAGCAAAATCTAATAGTAATTTTCTTGGGGAGCAAGAAACAGATGTTTTTGTGTGAATAAGAGTGTATGTATGTTTACCAGTTGTGACCAGAGCAGATCGTATCGCGGCAGGAGACCAGTCGGGGCGTTTTTGTCTTAGAAGTGCAACTATTCCTGACACGACAGGTGTAGCCATCGATGTTCCTGACATGAATTCAAATCGTGATGGTACGGATGCGAGTATACCTGAACCTGGTGCTGCTATATCCGGCTGTACTTTAAACAAAAAGCGATCTTTAGTACCATTATGTGAGAGAGCAAAAACTAAATTAGGTGTTAATACTTCACCTTGAGAATGGCAGGAGAAAGTGAATTGGGTCCTCTAGACGAAAATCTTGCGACTTTAGTCGCTGAAGGTCGACCAACGAATGTCTTGGTCGGGCTGATCTTAGCTATTGGCGATCTGCAAAAATCATTAAAATAAAAAACTAATAACAAATTACATCAATCATATTTAGATTACATGGAGAGAAATGGGAAGGAAAAGCTTACGTGGTTGTTTGGAGATACAATAAAATGTCCATCCCAAGTTCGTAGTCTACATAGGCACAAGCAATATCCGCGCTGCTCGGTTCGACACTATCCATTGGCTGCGACGCAATAATGACACCAGCGGCACCTTTTGATTCAGCGTATACCACAAAATCTTCTTGAATTTTTTCTGTGTGGAAGAAAAACAAGATTTTTCCCTTAGCTTTGCCGGCTTTGAAATCTTCTTTCGTCAGGTCGTTGAAGAAAAGAAGATCAGTGAATCCGACTTCTTTTCCGGTGTATAGACCTTCTTGACCCTGAGAATGAGATCCCAGAAAATAGTTAAATGAACAGTTACCTTTGCTTATATCACAAGCAAATGAAAACGTACCAGTACGGTTATATTGTTTCCAAGAGTGATGGGCGTGAAGAACTCTCGGTCCATGGTCGTAGCCGCAACTGTTATAATCCAAGGAGCAACGTTGGAGATGGTTTGAGTTTGCGGACCATCGTTCCCTCCTGCGCATACCACGGGGATTCCCTTCATAACGGCGTGGAAAGCAGCAATAGCAAAATCACTCCTATCAACCTCAAAATCAAGCGGTATATCTGATCCGAGAGAAAGCGATAGTACATCGACGCCATCACATATGCCGTGGTCCATGGCCTTTACAATATCTGGTGTGAAACACTCCTGGTTGTTCCAACACACTTTGTAAGAGGCTATACGGGCCCGCGGTGCACTGCCTCTCGCAGTTCCCATACCTAGACCGAGGAAGCTCGCGTCTTGGACAAAAGAACCCGCCGCAGTCGATGCACAATGTGTTCCGTGGCCGATTTTATCCATAGGGGACATGAATTCGTCTTGCTCTGCCGCGTTGAACGATCCGTTGTATTTGTCGAGGAGACCATTTGCGTAGTATCTAGCTCCGATCAACTTTCTGTTGCAGCTCGATGCGTTGAACCCTTCTCCTGAAACACATCGTCCCTTCCAACGTGCGGGGATGGGTCCAAGTCCGTTGTCATTGAACGACTCTGACTCTGGCCATATTCCTGAATCTAGGATTCCTATGATTGCTTCACTTCCCATATCGGTGTCATGAATAAGACCGGTTGGAGCGGTTGGAGTGAGTCCCAAGTATTCACTAACCCTTGTTGTTTTCAGCTTCATACTCTTGCTTTTCGTTACGTGAATAACATGAGGATGCTCTAATACAAATCCAAATCCGAAGTGAAAATTTAATTTAGCATTGTTTCTGAGTTTGACATAATGCTTGTGCAATACGTTTTCTTAAGAGAGGTTTCAAATTTACCTGACAGTTCCCTTGCTTGGGATGATGTGAGTTTCGCTGCAAAGCCTGAGAAACCATGTCTATAACTATAAATCATAGACTCACGGGAAGCTTCCTTGCTGCATCATCAGTGAAAACACTCAAATTCTTAAACCAATATTTTTTTCGCGCAACATTCATGATCTTCGGTAAGAATGCCCATGATTTATTTACCTTCCAAGAAGTGGTCCGAGAATGTCATGATGTGATTCAGTAACAAGATTAGGATCATCATGTTGCCTCCCACCCAAATGAACCGTGTAAATCTATATATAACATCAACGAGAAAAATAAAATAGCAATATTCTTCAAAATTAAAGCCTCTCCCTTTTCTTGATTGCCGAATAAAAAAAGCAAAAATCGACAATTTAAAACGTACCTGGCTTTCTTCATTGACGGCAGAAATCAAAGCTATCTTCAAGGTTAATACTAGACCTATGAACACAACTACAATATGCTTCCTATTGTTTGATACAATCAGAGAAGACAACCCCATTTTTATGGGTTTTAAGAGTTGTTGAGGCTGATTCTTAGAAGAATCGTCCAAGAATATTAGGGTTCTTATTTTTGAGTCTCCTCAACAATGTCCTCTATGATTGCATCCCAGAAGCATATGATGATTGTGTTCAAGTCATCTTGTATTTAAATTGAGGGATTTGGTTGATAATGTTGTTTTTTTTTTTTAGCTTACAACGAAGATAGGATATAACACCAAAGCGAAATTGTTAATTTGGGACTACTCTAGTTTGGGACAAAAACGGATTTGTTTCTTTTTACATAATTATTGGTGTAGAATTAAAACTTAAAACTGTTGTTTCATGAAAATTTGACACGTAGACATGTGTCAATATATTTTAATATCCTAATTTTATTTAAAAGCCAAAAAAATTCAAAGGTAAAATAACCCAATTTTAGAACCATCCAATGATCTTTGTAACTATAATTTTTTTTTTCTTTTTTGGGATAAACTATTGCAATCAGAGGATCGATTAAGCATTTCACCTAACTAATTTATAAGACCTCCATTTGCTTGTATGAAGATTATATGTTTGAAGACATCACAGCACTATGCTAAACCAATTAACTTTTTCCAAACATATGCTCATATTTTACTTTAGGAAAAAATGTAAGAAAATGGTTATAAGATATACCACCAGCACACTTATCTCACTTTTCACTTACACTTACGTTGTGATTTTGATTTTTCTTCAACTCCTTCGGTTTTAATGCATGATTCCTTGTAG